GATTGTGGTGCTACACATTCTGTTATTTCTCATACATTTGCTCAAGTGACATAACCTTATCTTACACCTCTAGGATATAATTTAGAATTTTCTATGCCTCGAAGGGATAAATGTTTTATGGATCGGGTATATCCAAGATGTCTAGTGGTAGTAAAGGACGTTATTATGCTGGCTAATCTTATCCCGTTGGATATTATGGATTTTGATGTGATTTTGGGCACTGATTGGTTGCACTATAATCGTGCCAAGATAGATTGTTATGGGAAGACAGTCACATTTCATTGTCCTGGATTACCTGAGGTTACATTTGTAGGAGAGCCTAGTGGGGTGAGGCATGGTATTATTTCAGCCATGAAAGCAAAGAGATTGTTGTCGAAAGGTTGTCAGGGATATTTGGCTTATGTGGTGTTGAATGATGATGCTCCTAGTAGTGTGGAGGATGTTCGGGTGGTTAGATATTTTCCAGATGTATTCCCTGAGGATTTGCCTGGATTGCCACCAGATAGAGAGGTGGAGTTTGTTATTGATCTGCTTCCAAGTATGAATCTCATATCCTTAACTCCTTATAGAATGACTCCTACTGAATTAAAGGAATTGAAAGTGCAATTACAAGAGTTAGTGGATAAAGGTTTTATTCAACCGAGTACTTCACCTTAGGGAGCTCCAGCTTTATTTGTGAGGAAGAAAGATGGAACTTTGAGGCTGTGCATTAATGACAGGCAATTGAATGGAGTAACCATTAAGAACCGTTATCCATTGCCTCATATAGATGATTTATTTGATCAACTCAGAGGTGCCTGCGTATTTTCTAAGATTGACTTGAGGTCAGGATACTATCAGTTGAAGATGAAAAGTGAAGATGTCCCTAAAACCGCATTTAGGACTCGATATGGTCATTATGAGTTTCTTGTGATGCCATTCAGGTTAACTAATGCACCATCAGCTTTTATAGACTTGATGAATCGAGTATTCCAGCCATATTTGGACAGGTTTGTTATTGTCTTCATTGACGATATTCTGGTATGCTTTAAGTCTAAGGCTAAGCATGTTAGACATTTGAAGTTGGTGCTGAGATGTTTGAGGGAACACTAACTGTATGCTAAGTTTAGCAAATGTGAATTTTGGTTGAATCAAGTGGCATTTTTGGGACATGTCGTTTCTTCTCAAGGCATTCAAGTGGATTCTCAAAAAGTGGCAGCTGTAGAGAATTGGGAGAAACCTCGAACCGTCATCGAGGTGCGGAGTCTTCTTGGCCTAGTAGGCTATTATAGACGGTTCGTTAAGGATTTTTCAATGATTGCTCTGCCATTGACGAGGTTGACTCGAAAAGATGTTAAGTTTGAGTGGGATAATAAATGTGAGCAAAGTTTCCAACAGTCGAAGTACTACCTCACTCATGCACTGATTCTAGCACTTCCAGATGATAGCGGTAATTACGAGGTTTATAGTAATGCTTCTCTGAATGGTTTGGGTTGTGTATTAATGCAACATGGTAGGGTGATTGCTTATGCTTCGAGACAGTTGAAACCTCATAAGAAGAATTACCCTACACATGATTTGGAATTAGCAACTATCATATTTGCTTTGAAGATTTGGAGACATTATCTTTATGGTGAGAAATGTAAGATCTTCACAGATCATAAGAGTCTCCAGTATCTGTTTACTCAGAGAGACCTTAATCTTCGTCAGCGGAGGTGGATTGAATTACTTAGTGACTATGATTGCACGATTGAGTATCATTCTGGTCATGCAAATGCAGTGGCGGATGTACTTAGTAGAAAGACTCTTGCTAGACTTAATGCCATCTATGATTGTCATGTTCCTCTCCTAGCAGATTTGAGGTCCACTGGAGTGGAGCTAGGAGTGGAAGATCAAGAAGAAGACGTGCTTGCTAATTTTCAGGTTAGGCCAGTTTTAATTAATCGTGTGCTTGAGGTTTAGATGAATGATGAAGAGACCTAGGAAATAAATCAAGCAAGAAATCAAGGCAAAAAGAAAGATTTTGAGATTCGAGAAACTGATGGCATGCTTATGCAGGAAAGCAGGATGTATCTATCAAATAATGCAGAATTAAAGAAAGAAATTTTGGATGAAGCACATATTTCGGCATATGCAATGCATCCATGAGGCACTAAGATGTATCATACCATTAGACCATTTTATTATTGGCCGGGTATGAAAAGAGAAATTGCCGAATATGTGAGTAGGTGTGCCATTTGCCAACAGGTTAAAACCGAAAGGAAGAAGCCGTTTGGGTTGATGCAGCCACTTCCCGTTCCACAGTGGAAATGGGAAAATATTACTATGGATTTTGTGTACAAGCTCCCTCGTACACAGAATGGTTATGATGACATTTAGGTGGTAATTGATCGGCTTACAAAGTCATCACATTTTATTCCAGTGAGGGAGAAGTATTCGTTAAGCCGATTAGCTAAGTTATTTATATCGCAGATTGTGAAGTATCATGGTGTGCCAGTTAATATCATCTCGGATTGGGATTCCAGATTTACTTCCAAGTTCTGGATAGCATTCCAGGAAGCTCTTGGTACGAGATTGCTTTATAGTACGACATATCATCTTCAGACAGATGGACAATCTGAGAGGACTATCTAGACATTAGAAGATATGTTGAGATCTTCAGTGCTGCAGTTTAGAAATAGTTGACATGATTGTTTGGATTTGATGGAGTTCGCCTACAACAACAATTATCATTCAAGTATTGGTATGGTGCCATTTGAGGCACTTTATGAGAAATATTGTCGTACGCCTCTATGTTGGTTAGAGGTTGGTGAAAAAGTTTTAGTGGCCCTGAGATTGTGGATATGACTACGCAAAATGTTCAGGTAATTAAGTGTAACCTGAAAGTGGCCCAAGATCGACAAAAAAGCTTAGCAAACAAGCATGCTACTGATCGGAAATATGATGTAGGTGATTGTGTATTTTTGAAGCTATCACCTTGGAAAGGTGCAGTACGATTTGGAAAGAAAGGGAAGTTGAGTCCTAGGTTCATTGGACCATATATGATCACCGAGCGAGTCGGTGAGGTTGCTTACAGGCTTGAGTTGCCTCTAGAGTTATCCAAGGTGCACGATGTATTTCATGATTCGATGCTTCGACATTATGTTTCAGATCCTTCACATGTGATTCCTCCTCAACCTTTGGAAATCAATTCAGACTTGACTTATGATGAGGAGCCAGTGATTCTGTTGGATTGGAAGGACAAGGAACTGAGGAACAAGACCGTGCACTTGGTGAAAGTATTATGGAGAAATCATTCAGTGGAAGAAGCTACTTGGGAGACAGAGGATCGAATGAGAGAAATGTATCCACGATTGTTTTATGATTATTAGTGGATGTAATTGTTATGTATAATTTCGAGGGTGAAATTTTATAAGGTGGGGAGATTGTCACAGCCCGTTCCGAAATACTTTTATCGAAGGTGTGAAAAGACTAGAATGCCCTTGGGTGTTGAGATGAGTCGTATGTGACATGGTTTTAGAAGTGGACCAACATAATTATTTTCCTAAGTTTTTGGGGCCAATGAGAACTAAACCTTGGTTAGTTGTGGTTGGTGTGTAGATTGGACCACACACACACATCCACATTACTTTATCTCTCTCTTCCCTCCCGTGTTCTCTCTCTATCTCTCGGACTCACTCTCTCTTCCCTCTCCTCCGTACGGACAACCTTGAACCAAGCCAAATCTTCGCAGATCGAGGAAGAAAATGAACCAAGCCAAATTAGCCGTACAAACTACCATTGGAGTTCCGACTAACATATCATATTTCTATGAATTTATTTTTACTTTAATTGCTTACTCTGTTATATATTGGCATGACATATATGTTTGATTATGATTATGTGAAGCATGAATTGAATTGATATGAATTATGTAAAAATAACTCGTATCTTTTTCTGTTTAGTAGTGCACTCTAGTAATTTGGTTTTTAATTATTTGTATATCTCTTATTTTTATTGCTTCCGCACTGTTCACAAGGCTACATCACTTTCACGTGACGGCCAACATGCCTTGATCTCGATCGGGGTGTGTCAACTCAACTCAAGACACACCCATTCTCAGAGTACGTGACATGACAAATGCTTAGGCAATGCACATTTTCATTTTTGGTTTTAATTTTCAGTGCAAATATTTTAAACTACATTCTTTTACTTATATATGTATTTTTGCTATTTCAAATTTTGGGTGAGTTATTTCCAGTTTTGATTTTGAACTCAGTACAAGTATTTGAATCGTACGTTTTTATATATATCCATTTTTTACATTATTTGATTATACACATATTTTTGACCTTATGTTATTACATAATAATTTGTATTTTCAACTTTATATTTTTATACAAGTATATTACGATACTGTATTATTGAGGAAGAAGATATGAGCTTGGAGGCATGGAAAATGAATCATTGCAATCCGATCGCAACAGAATGATTCTCTTTTATGTAGCCGCTCTAACTTGATTTCTTCCTTGTGTGTGTGTATATATATATATTTACAAATTTACTCCCTACTTCGAGTATTTTACTTATAGCAAATTATTTTAAATTTCGGGGACGAAATTTTCTTAAGGGGGGTAGATTGTAACGACCCGTACCCGAATTTTACGATTTTATAAAATTTAAAGTGTGAATTTATGAAAATACCCTTTTAGGTAAAAAATCATTGACTTTTATTGACCGCCTTGTCATGTCATGTAAGATCTCTTTTCTTAGCATATCCTTGTAGTACTCATCGCTATGGACACATGGGCGTAAGCAGAATGTAATTTAGAGTTAAAATGAAGAAGTTATCAGCAAGCAAAGATAATGGGGAAATGGTCATTTGACCATCATCTAAAAGGATTCAGATTTTGCTGGAGTAGTCAAATGATGCCACTTGTATGGCTATGATGGAAGGAAATGAGAGATAGACGGAGGAGAGAAAGGATAAATTAGGGAAATGAGAGAGATGGACGGAGGAGAGAGATTGCCTAATCAGAAAAGAAAGCAATGAAGGGAAATGAATGAGAGAAAAACCACCTAATCCAGATCTTCCATTCGACCCACGACCCAACCCGTTTGCTACGAACACCCCGACGCCTTTCACGGCGTTTCTCCGACAAGTCACGAGGAATCACCACCACCAATTCCCACCTAAACTTAACGGTTGTGGGTCACGATTTCATGACGAACAAACGTCGTCTTCTTCGGCAAGTTCGTGGGGTGCACGGAGGTAATCTGCCATTTTTGAAGCTAGTACAGTCGACCACCACCATCAATCGACTTCCTTTGAGGTTAGGAACAAAGCCCTTGCATTGGTTGGGGCGTCAACATTCGTAACGAATCGAGAACCATCTATTTCTAGGGTTCCGACAGTTCGTGGTGGTTTTCATGCCACTTCCTGGCCGAATTGGACTTCGGCCAGGTACGAAAGTTGTTCCTCTCATTGAGATCTACATTCCTATATATTTTGGGAATTTTTGGAGTTGTTGAATTTTCCAGCTAGTCAGGGTTACCGGTCGCCGCCTCGTGGCGACTCTTACGGCGGCACATGAGGAAACCAGATGGTATCCCTTAGTTTTCTCGATGTGCCAAATCCGAATTCGCTGTCCGTTTTTCCAAAGTCTAACGTTTTAGTAGAGTTTTACTAAATGGTCCCTAATTGTGGTTAGGTGCATCGGTGGAAAGTGACTCCATCCTTGCTAGCTCGAGCAGTTCCTGGGCAACAAAATATTTGTGAGTGGACCCCTTCTTAACTTGCATGTTTTATAAAATATTAGGATTGCATTCACGAAAAGCATGATTTCATAATTTTACGTTTTATGTATTATTTATGATTTATTGAAATTATGTTTTACGAAAGGTTATGAATTATTAGATTTTCATATATGAAATTCTATGGATTATGAATATGATTTATTTTACAAATTTACAAATATGATTTACTATGGATTTATGAAATGCGGTTTTAAGCTTTTGAGCTCCAGTGTTTTAATACGAGTTTTGAGATACATTTTTGGTACTTATCTAGTGGGTTATCATACGACACATACAAACAACACGAGTATGATGTCTATGGCCATAGGAAATTGTGGAGGAGTAGTGTGATCTTTATGATATACCCGCAACTTTACTGCAGAAAGCAATGTCGGGCAGCTTCACTAGCCTCAGCTAGTGTTGGTGCGTATGTATGCTATTTTATTTAGCTTCACCGTAGGGTGATTAACATGTTATACAGTTTCACCTTCAGGTGATGGACATGTTATACAACTTCACCTTCAGGTGATGGACAGGTTTTGCCTTCGGGCGACTATGATACCCCAAGTTGAGTACCTGACTGAGGATATTTACGAAGGTTTTACGAATTTACCTTTGGACGGCTATATTCATTTATGAGCATGGTTTTATACGTACTGATTTTATGAACATTTTCATGGCATGTATAGTTTTCACAAAACTTATTATATGTGTAGTACTATATATGTTTTCAAAACAGGAGGTTAATATGTTCATAAAAAATATTGGTTTTTTGTATTGTTAGTATTATTATAAATTATGGTCCACTCACCTTTTTTGTTTTGCACCGCCTCAGGAGTTAGAGTCGAGGCACACAATCCCAGTGTCGGGGCACTTTCGCTCAAGCATCTTGGAGTTTCCTTTGTGTATAACCCATTCCTCGATTCGTACCTCTCTATAATAAATCTTTCACATTATTCTTGGTTAGTTGTATGCTCTGAACACGGTTATGCATTAGTATATTTCTTTCTAATCACATATTTTAATTTGCATGCATGTTTAAAATGGCTTTGTCATCCTGGGGTGTCAGCCAGCATGTGCCTACCATGATATTTGGGGTTATCGGGGTTGGGGCATGTCAGCAGGAGCACTACCGCCGCAAAGCATCACCAAGGTCGATGTCATGGCAATCCATGGTGGGAGCTAAACGGCTCATGGGCAGAAGGTTCAAGAGCACCACAGGCAAGATGCCCAAGTGCCAGCAAAGCATTATAACAACAACTGCCAACCAAGTAGGCTAGAAGGTCAAGGCCCAAACAACGCAACATGTAATCCAAGTGCAAGCCCAGAACACTCCAGCCCACGGCCATATGGGCCAAGCAGACCCGGCTTTGCACCTGCGTACTCAATGTCTGCTACAATTCCACCACTCACGGAGAATCACAACCTTGTTAAACCTAGGGCTTCTATTTTGTTCTTTATTTATATTTAAATAATTATTTTTTCAAACCAGAAGATGAGCAGCCAGTTCTAATTTGTTTTGGTTGTGGTTTCTCTGCTCCTATTATACATATATATACACATATATATACATATACACACACATAGCCCAGTACCATTGTATCAAATTTTTAGATTACATTTAACTAAATTTACATCATGTTGGAACCAAATTCGAGAACCGCCGTGAATGGTGGTTGTGCATAAATTCGAGCAAGCTGTAAAACAGTAACCAACCATAAGCAAGCCTAAGACCAGGGAGGGATGTGTCGGCCAAAAACTCTCCGATGGTCAGCTTAGTGAATGATTTTAGACTCAAGTAGTAGGCAAGAGAATTCAAGTATTTAGATTTTGTTACCAGAGATGAACCTAAACAGGTGGTACAAATGTGATATGAAAATCATAATAAGAGTAACTTTCTAACTTTTAGTTTCTTGTAATTGAAAATTAATTTTCTTAAATGAAACCTAAATATTCTAAAATATGAACTTGAAATGGTTCACAATGTTGTCATTCATAAAACCAAACCTACTTGAACACATTTGACATTATAACATCTTCATCATCTTGACTTGTATCTTAATTTCTTTTTGTTCTTTTTAAATGAGGTTTTGTTCTCTACTTTTCTCTCTTTTTAAGGCTTGAGGCCACATTTAGATCATACTAGAAAATTGCCTGTGTGCTGCTGCAAGTTTTGAAACCGTAATGCATGACAAGCATGAATCATTTTGACAAAAAGAGACACAAATTGTTGATGAAATCACGTCTTAACAAATAATATTGAAACGGTAGTAGCCTTAGAATGAGATTTAATGGTGCATAAAGTACAGACTGAAAGTTTAATTCCAACAAATACGTGTAATTATGAATCATCACAATCGAAAGACCCACAAAACCTACATCAAACCACCTAAAGGCAGAAGCAACATAATTGCATTTTCAATTACATTAATCTACAAAATGCACATCCTAACTTAGCCACTCCCAAAAAAGCATAAACTAACACAAATGATTCAACACTGACATGCCCCAACCCGGATATTCCCAAATATCAGGGTAGGTACGTGTTGGCCAACACCCAAGGGTGACGAAGCCATTTTAAAAATGGATGCAAATTAAAATATGTGGTTAGAAAGAAATGTAGTAATACAGGAACGTGTTCAGAGCATATAGCTAATTAAGAATAGTATGAAAGAATTATTATAGAAAGATACGAACCGAGGAATAAGTCCTACACAAAGGAGGCTCGAAGATGCCTAAGCGGAAGTGCCCTGACGCCGGGATCGTGTGCTTCGAATCTAAATCTTGAGGGGGCGCAAAAACAGAAAAGGTGAGTGATCCAAAATTTATAATAATATTACTAATAATAGGAAAACCATTTTCTTTTTTAACATAGTAACTGTTTGAAAACATATATAATACTACATAATAGGTTTTTCTGAAAACTCTAGCATGCTATGGAAACCTTTGCAAAACATGCATGTGTAAAACCATGCTCAATGATGAGGCTATCTCCGCACGAAGGCAATTCCGTAAATCTCATCAACATTGTACTCACTAGAGGTATCATAGTGGCCCGAAGGCATAACCATCACCAAAGGTGAAGCTGTACGACAATGGGTTACACCAGTGAGGAAACATGGTAGGCCCCATCACTCGAAGGTGAAGCTGTACGACTCCGGGTTACACTGGAGAAGAAATATATACATCACATATCCTCAACTGTGTCCTATGGCCATAGACATCTACATACCCGTGTTGTGTGGATGCATTGTATGATACCCCGCTAGATAAGCATTGAAAACATATCTCAAAAACTCATATCAAATCCAAAGCTCACAAGCTCAAAGCCTCATTCCATAAATCCATGATAGCACATATTCATAAATTTGTAAAATAATACATATTCATAATCCATGGAATTTCATATACGAAAATCCAATAATTCATAACCTTTCGGAAAACGTGCGATAAATCATAACTATCTCGTAAACCGTAAATATAGAAATCTGGAAAACAATATATAAAACATATTCAAATCATGAAGTGTGAAATGCATGCTAGGCTAATATTTTATAAAAATATGTAAGTTTAGAAGGGGTCCACTCACAGTATTCCATTGCCAAGGAACCGCTCGAACTAGAAAGAACGGTGTCACTTCCCACCGACGCACCTAAACACAAATAGAGGTCATGTAATAAAACTATACCTAAACAATAGAATTTGGGAAAACAGACGGTGAATTCGGGTTCGGCACATTAAAAAACCTATGGAGGAACCTCATGTTCCTCCAAACGCACTGCCACATGAGTCACCACGAGTCTATGGCCTAGAAGGCCATACACTGCGGCTAGCTAAAAAATTCAACAACTCCAAAAATTCCCAAATTTTATAGGAATGAAGATCTCAATGATAGAAACAACTTTCATACCTATGACGAAGTCCAATTTGGCTGGGAAGTGGCCTAAAAACCACAATGAACCGATGGGAACCCTAGATTGTGTAGTTGTCGATTCGTCCTCTCCGATGCTCCGCCGTACCCAAACTTGGTTAAGGTTTGATCCTGGCTTCAAGAGGAGTCGAACCATGATGGTGGTTGACAATGGTGGTTGTAGAAACGACGAATCGTCGCCGTGGTGTCCTCGAAGTCGTTAGCTTCGATCTTCATGAATTAGGGCCAAACGTCTTCGATTTTGGGGTGGAATGGGTAGAAGGAAGGTCGTGGAGTATAGTGCAGGTGGTGGTGATGGTCAATTCATTGGGAAAACGCCAGAATCGGCTTCAGGGTGTTCGTAGGAATCAGGTCGAGTCGAAGGGAAGGTTCGGGTTTGTTGAGTTTCTCCTTCCTTCATTTCCCTTCTTACACTATTTTTTGATTGGTCACTCTCTCCTCTCCTCCTTCCCGGTTGGGCAACACCTCCCTCATTTCTTTCCTCTTATTTCCATCACAGCCATGCATGTGGCATCATCTGACTGCTTCAACAAATCTAGAGCCTTCTAGATGATGGTCAAATGACCATTTTGCCTTTATATTTACTCGCATATAACTTCTTCGTTATAACTCCAAATTTGATTCGGCTTGCACCCACACGTTCATCGCAACGAATACTATGAGGATACACTATGAAAACAGATCTTACTTGACATGACAAGGCGGTCAAACAAAATCAACGCATTTTCCTTGAAAGGCATTTCGTAATTTCACATTTTAAAATTATAAAAACCGTAATTTTTTGGGACGAGTCGTTACAAACACTATATGAAAACCAAATACAAAAGTTAACCACTATGGTAAAATATATTTTAGCTTGCATTTAGATTGAATTTACTTTACATCAACATCTCATCCACAATTAAAGGGGCTAAATTAGAAGTTTGGCATAACAAAAAATGTAACCTCAAAAAAATATTGTTTTAACATAAGGAATTGAAGCAGCATGCAGTCTCAATTCATATAGCCTTATAAAAGCTTCTATCATTTCGCTGGCTTGGTTTTTGTTTAACATTGTAAAACTTTAAAAATGTACCAAAGAACACAACAAACACCATATAAATCAAAGAATGTAACAAAATTTAAGGCCCAATTGTCTAAAATTCGCAAAATCAATGTACCTCAAGAAGCCAAAGCCTATTGCTCCCTTCAACGATTCAAATTTATAGACTTCACAAACATAACAAACATAATTAGGATATATCTTATACCAATATCAACCAAACATATTGAATGAGTGAGTACACTAATTTAACTTTGCCCCTACTAATGTAATGCCCAGGTAAACCATCCAAGGACTTTGAAGATAGAGAAGCAAAACCAAAATCAACTATTTACATAGACCGCACACACCAAAAGCAACCATTTATCATGCTTAAGCACTAGATATTCACAAGCTAGTTTACAAAAGTAGGGGCTAGAGCATGAAAACCAAGCAAACAAAGCATGAAAACCATGTAAAGCTCTCAATGCACCAAACAGAGTAAAACATCATAATACAAAAGTTTGAAAAACAATTTAGGCTCACAATAATTCAGTGTTCTATTTTGAAAAGAATTTAGGATCACAAAACAAAAGCTTTATAAAACTTAACTTTATAATGAATTATAAAACTTTTATTTTCTGATCATCAGTTCTAACCACAATAATTCCTTCATTAGTTCCACAGCCCCCACACTCTCACAGACTAATTAATCAATTAACTAAACCAATCAAAATTACCCTTAAAATTAAACTTAGTTTGACTACTTAATTAGCTTCATTTTTCTAACACAAACAGAAAAACAAAAGGTTATCTGGATCCAATTTCTAACTTTTTAATGCAAAAAAGGTAAACCTACACAATTTGTAAAGGTATTAAAGGTTATAATGTATTAAAAAAGTTATAGCATTTTCAAGCAAGCTGAATGAATTAAGCATGCCATTTTCAAGCTTTTTTCTCTCCCAACAATTATTTAAAAAAAGAAAATGAAATCATGCTTCCATTTCCTTTGACATGTGATACTGAACCATCTCATGCCCACTGATTTTATGTTGCAGCTAAGATTATCACACTCTAATGGCCAAGACTGCAAGCAACCATCAAGTAACTATAACTCATAAATGGAACTATAACTCAAGAACTTCCCAGACCCCAAGCTATATGTAAATAAAGATGTATATGAGACTTGTTTATCAAATTATGAGCAGAAGAAGAAGCAAATTTGGACCATCACATTTTTTAACCCTAACAATTATTCAACTGAAATACAACTTTGTAAAAATCACTTCACAATATCCTAATATTGTTACCTAAATATTACCAAAACACTTAAGCTTTTTCCAGCTAAAACACACATAAGAGCAGGGGAATTTGTAACTTCAAAACCAAATAGCAAAAAAATGTCAAAACTTTGAGCCATTCTTTCACAAGAAATAGCAAAAAAAAGTTCAAGCATTTCCCTAATTGGTGAACTATTTAATAAACCCTAAACCCAAACATAGAGTTGCAAAATATCTGTCATCTTCTCTGTTCCAAATTTGTTTTTTTTTTAAAAAAAAAAACCAAATTAATACCCATTCTACTTAAAAAAATCAGCAACAATCCAAC